CCTGTCAGCCCTTTGAGGTAGACCAGACTTAAATACCCAAGTCATGAATACCCTAACCCCCTCCCTGCCTTTATCCTAAAGAGAACTCGGGAGGGTCAAGTCTGAGATGCTTTCTCAAATTCCATTCCTCCTTTGGGCTCCAATTTCTCTTATCTGAACTGTGCCTTGGCTGTGGCTCTTCCTCCTCTTCCTCCAAGTTATTCTCACCACCCATTACGTCGCCCAAACTTGAATCTGTCTAACTGGCAACCAGTGTAGTTGCTTCAACAAAGGAATTACATGTACATGGTCAAGGGCCACACATAGCCACCTGCTGCCTCATTCTGCTCCAACTGCAGCTTCCAAACCAAACACAAGGGTAGTCTTGTGCATTAGTAATCTCAATGTGAAGTTACCAACATATGAACAACTGTAGCTAGGTTGTCCTTATGCAGGAAAGGGCATAGTTGGTGTACCAGCTGAATAGGCATACCATAGACATTCCTAGCCATGGAGGTCACTTGAGTCTCCAATGACAATGATTACTGTAGGAACACCCCCAAATGATGTGCCTGCTCTTTTTCAAGGGTGTGTCATGAAACCAGACGTCACCGACAATGGGATTACTAACCCCTCTGGTACCCAGGGCATCCCCTCTCTCAAGCTGGGTCCTAACAATTGTGCCACTAAAGGTTTGAGACAGATCCATATCTCTCCTAGAGAGCACAATATTTAAGCTGGCCCTACTAAGGCAGGTTCAGGATGAATGTTGGGATCTCCTGGGGTTTCCAACACCACAGGTTAGACCACCTCTGCCAATTTAGTGAGGTTGTTGGACAGCAAAATAGGCAGTACACCAGGCTGTTTCATTGATCCAACACCAGAGACAGAGCCTTGTAACCTGTCCCGGTGTGAAGGGGTTTCTGGTGAACAAGATGCTGTCCTATGGTCAAGAATTATGCCCCCCAGCTCAGACTGAGAAACCAGATGAGCACAGCTGGTCAACTGTACTTAATTCTCAGTTATAAATACCAGGACAGCTTTTTTTCATCCGTGATCAAATCATGAATCAGTTATGTTTTTAGTTTTTAGTTTCCCCTAGCTTGATGAAGATTAATGGGCTACACTGTGTTGTTCTTATGAACCTAGAATTTTGGCCTTAATGCTTAACATGTTTTAAACTGTCAGAAAGAATGAATTTCTAATGCATGATCAGGTTTTCTGGAGGATAATTTAGCTAATGAAGGAAATCCAGTCATGCATATTTCATATGAGAGCTAAATAAGAAAGGAATATGGATCAGTTTGGCTATTCATTAGTTATGTTCAACTTAATTAATTCTCATGGGGAGAAAAAGGAAATTTGATGGTTGGGATATTAGGAAAGATTGTTCCAGTGGTGAAATATGAGAGGATTCAAGAAAATGATGTAGATAGAGAATCTGGAAATGTTAAGATAATAAATTCTGGTTGGATAAGGACAAATGTTATACCAGGTAACCAACCTGGTCTGAAGATTTGTTTCTCAGCATAGCCACATGGTGGAGCTCTTGTAATTTGTTAGATGCATTTCTTCCTAAGGATCAACATGCCTCCTTTTTGCGAGTCTTGAAAAAACATGGAACCAAGCTAGTTCTTATTTTTATTGTGTAGTTCCAATCAGATAAATAACACACATACCACTTTTCACTGTGGCAAAAGGTTAATCATATTATCTCAATTAACGATCCATTTAATCCATCTAGTTTGGCAATTAGCTTCTGATAGAAAGCTCCTACAAAAAGCTTCCTATTGAATGTATCCCATTTGAAATCCCACTCCATCCCTGTAAGGTTTCCTTTTTGTTTTCTATCTAATAAGAAACATTTGTATTTTACTTATGGCTGGATAAATACATGGCTTTTAGATTTCCATATAATGGGTACTTAGTTATTGAATATGTTCAACATCACAGAGCAGATGCATTTACACCAGTGTTTTTCAAACTTGGCAACTTTAAGATGTGTGGACTTCAACTCCCAATCTTAAAGTTGCCAAGTTTGAAAAACACTGATTTACACAAGATGCAAAGCTTAGCTTTAAACTTCTTAATGTGTGTGTATGTGTATACCTTAGACTCACAAGCAAATCTCAGCTGTCTATTTATGATGCAGTGTTTTATGCAGCCAATAAAATGAATTAATTCAACTGCCAAATTAAGTGTTGTGTGTGTTTCTTTGTCTCATCAGTCTTAGATGTAACTGGAAATTTGGTATTACCCCTTAAGCAGTCTAAACTATCCTTCTCAAACTATTGCCTTCCAGATATCTTGAGCTTCTGTTTCCAGAAACCCACTCAGAACTAATCTACAGTAGCTTGGAATTTAGGGAGTTTCAACCCCAAGATTTCTGGAGAGAGTTCTTTACAGTTCTCTTCAGAGATAAATATGCTATAACTTGCTTTCAGATAAGTAAATACAGGATTGAAGTCAATGTCTGCTTCATCACTAATTAAATCCAGACTTGGCTTCAGCATCAAGGCAGACTTTTCTCTTTATCCTATCTTAGGTTGACATGCAAATTTTGGTGGTGGAAGATGAGCAGTGGAATCCGTGACTCCTTTTATATGGTATGCCACATCTGTTTAATGTCTACATGAAGCTCCTGAGGAAGTTCATGCTTGGTTCAGGGTGAAGTGTCATCAATGTGCTGATGAGTTTATACCTGCAGTTCCCAAACTGCAGCTGCCGTGATGCCGCAGCAAACTCAAAGGGGTGCTGTGAGCTATTTTACTGCTTGATAAACGGAACTGTGAGTTTGCTACGCTGCCCCAGGGCTCTGCAGCACAGAGTTAGGGAACTGTTAGGAATGCTGTGAACCAAGAAAGATTGGGAACCTCTGAGTTATTTCCATTCAGAATCAAATAGGTGATCCTGTGAAGGTCCTTATCCGATGTTTGGAAGAATCTGGATGGGACAAACAAGTTGATGGCTGAATCTTAGGAAGATGGAATAGGGATTGGTGGCTGGCACTTGGGAGGATTGCACACCCCCTCCAAAGAGCAGGTCTACAACTTGGATGCTCCTGGATAGGCAGCTCCACTTAGATCAGCAGGTGGAAGCTGCCACCAGGAGTGCGGATGCTCAGTTATGGCCATTTTTAGTGCAGGAGGCCATCATTACTTTAAAATTGGATTATTGCAATTCACTCTACATTGGGCTGCTTTTGAATACTACCCAGAAAGTCTGGTTGGTACAAAACAGAGTGGCCTGCATTGTGCAAGCCAGTTCAGCAATATTTTTTGTGAATGCTACACTGGCTTCCAGTAGGTTTCCAAATACAATTTAAGGTAGTGGTTTCAACTATAAAGACCTACAGAGCAAGGGCCAGGATTTCTATGGGACTGTCTCCTCCAAGTTGACTCTGGCTTGCTTGTCTGTTCTGCTCAAGAGATGTTCCAGATTCTCTGTTTAGGAGAAGTGTGCCAGGGCCCAGAAGCAACGCCCCTCTATTCCTGCACAACCCTCTGTAATGTGCTGCCCCCTTAGATCTTTAGTCACCTTACTGAAAGCTGTGGAAATGTGTGCTTTGCTTCAGAACCTATTGGCAGCAGGCTACTTAAAATTTTACTGTTAAGAGTTACTATATTTATGTTTATTGTTTTTTATGATTTGATTTGTAAACTGCCCAGTGGTATGTAATTGCAGAAACATAGAAATAGTTAAAATACATAAATCTGATGGTGCTCTGGAGAACCTGAAAGCTCCTTCAATAACTTCTGACACTTCAAATGATTCAACATAATAAAGATGTTACCCAATACACCATTTTGGGACTATTTCTTACAGACCACCAGGACTTGATTTGCTTTTGACCTGTCAGCAAGCATAAGAATTTGCTTTGCAGTGAATAACAATGAGTTCTGTAGATGGTTGTTGAGATCAAAAGGCACTTCTGCAGAACTGGAGAAGCTACAGGAAAGTAATTATGAATGAGATAGATCACCACTCATAATACTTTCTCTGGGGTTAATTCAGAGAATTGGCTAGAGATTCCAGACATATAAAAAGTACTGCCATAAGTACCCATTGGCTTAGAGAAATTGCAAGGAGTAGGATGGACAAATTCATGAAGAAAAAGGAAAATTTTGAATGTTAGTTTGGATGGCTATATGGAACCTCCATGTTCAGAGGTCTATCTCTAAACCAGTTGCTAGGATCAATAGCAAGAGAAACAGTTTTCTTCACCCTTTGCTTGAAAGCTTTTTTTTCTGGTTGATTGTTGTGGGAAAAAAGATGCTGCACTATATGGGTCCACCATGGTTTAATCTAGCTGATGGGTTCTTTTAGGTGTTTACTGGACAGAAAGTAAAATATTCAACATCCTCAGTCCCAAATCCTAACCTCCTATTCAATTCTTTGTCATTTGTTGTTCAAGAGAACTGGTACTGGGAGCATCTGGTTGGTTAAATACCAATGTCCTTGCTTTAGTACTAGATATAAACATTTTGCAGCTTTTTATATGTAATTTCCAAACTCTAGTTACCTAGGCTATGTGTAAAGTTAGCTGGTTTGAACAAAGAGATATCTGAGTGTATCTTTTGAATACCAGGATGGACTCTAGGAACGTACAGAATAATATCTAATTAATTAATTAATTAATTAATTAATTAAGGTATATAGCCACCCATCTCAACTGCATGACTCTGGGTGGCTTACAACAATTTAAATAATACAAGGAACAATACAATCAAACCAATAAAACATATTAAAAAACCAGTCCAAATTAAATTAATAAAATCTACAGCTAGGATCTGAAAATGGAATGTGAACATGGACAAAATGTGACAGCTGATGTGGCACTAGGATTTTTAAAGTTCTCAGGCAGAGCTTTCCCACAATTTGTAGGGAGGGGGAAGAAATCAGTCTTTAGATTTCAATAACATTAGTAGAAAAACATTTATTACACAAATATTTATTCTGTTTGATCCATATTTTAACACTCAAATATATAAATGTATAAAATAAATAAAATGTTCCTTATCTTGGGTTCCATCTGTTACATAAATAAAATAATTACTAGGAGTGAAAATTCATTCCCTGAACACTTTAAATATACTTTAAATATTTTAAAATAAATCCCTGAGATTTAACTGCAGTTGCACCTTGATTAGACAATAATTTATGCAATCGTGTTATGCCCTTAGGCTTTCATTTCTGCTGCATATGCCTCAGTTCCATGCGCTGTTCGGTTCGCTTTGAAGTTATTCATACAATCTTGGACCCACTTCTCAGCGGGATCAGCACAAATCTGTAGTTTTTTCTTTGTGATGAGCCTGGAGGGAATAGTAGGAATAACAAGAATTATACCTCCCAATATTCTTTTCACACCAATTGCACTGTTTTCCATTGGCTTCCTCTGCTTATCGCATTTTCTGCTTCAACTGAAGTCTAATTTCTAAGACTTCCTTAAAGATTTCCCTTAAATTATTCCACACAGCAATTATGCTAGGCACAGAAAATGGCATGTATGGTATCAAACACATAATCTTCAAACCTTAATCTGGAAAACCTGACCTTCCTCCATGAATATAGCAAATTACATAATTTCATTAGGACAATCTTCCCCAATCTGGGGATCCTCAGCTTACTGATTTCACCTCCCAGAATTTCCATGCTTGGCCATGCTGGTTGGGGAATTCTGGGTGTTGACGTCCATACTACTGGAAAACACCCATGGTGAAGAAGATGCATTCGAAAATGTAGTAGCATTTCTTACAATTAAAAAAAAGACCAAGGCTTGTTATCACACCACTTGATTTACACAATGCACTAAGCTAGGTGTCTTTTAGCCATGCTTTAAATAAACCAAAGTTAGTGGGTTTATACAATAAGCTAAGGTAATACTGTATGGTTCTGTTTGGCTTAGCTTGATGCGCAAACCCCATCAACTAACTAGATCAATGAAATAAATGTCTTGTTATGCCTGCTTTATTATTGGCCATGATTTATAGGTAATTCTGCTGGGGAATTCTGGGAGTTGAAGTCCACATATCTTGGACTTCATGCCAAGGCTGAGAAATACTGCTCTAGCGAGCACATATAAAAAGAGGTGGTGATGGTAAATCTATGAACATGTTTTAGCCAGTGCTCACTATACCTGCTCTACACCTGATAGCTGAAACTACTTTGGAATTGGTACTTACACGACAGCTGGCTGAGAGCATTTGCTACTTGTTTCATAATAATTGACCACAAGATTACGTGGAATCTTCCTTTTTGTGTAGCTGAAGCAGCAGGAAGTTGGGGGATCAGATGCTAAGAGAGGAGATGAAAAAACAAGTAAGTGGAAGAACAATTTTTGACTTTTGAAACAAAAGGCAATAGGCTTATGCTTGGCAAGAACTTGGGTTTTTTACTTTGGAGTTCTGGAACTCCAGAATAAGTAGAAGATTTTGTTGTTTAGTCGTTAAGTCGTGTCCGACTCTTCGTGACCCCATGA